GTGTCCTTTTCTGTACCTCAGTTCAATGTGTATGGCCACATTTGATGATCAATCCTGCTTCTGGTTTCCCATGCCAAAGTGAACATTGCACCCGTTATGTCTTATCTTTCCCATGAGTTCTCCAATCACATTGTTTTGCATTAAACAGTAAACTAAGGCTATGTCTACCTTCATCAATGGGGCATAAATGATCTCAGGACACTATTTGAAGAAAAGGCAATGAGTTTTCCAAGATGATCTGACTAAGATTTATGTCTTCTCAACAAACCTATCTAAAATAAATTATATGGTTGCTGTCCCTTTGCTGTTTGTAGGCATCTTGCTACGTTCACAATATTGCTGGACTTCTTACCTTTGCAGCAGTTAAGCTTGCTTAATTAATACTGAAGTGCTTGTCGACATCATGAGGTTATAAAAGTAGCTATCTAAATGCAGGTCCTCTTTCTTTGGAGCAAAAAAAGGCAGTGGTGTTGAAACTGATAATGAATTTCAAGAAGTACTCTCCATAGTGTGGAGCCAAAGACCAACACTGTCATGGTTCTAAATGTTTGCCTCACATTTCCAATGACTGATGGCTACTTTCAGCAGAGCCTGAGTAACCTCACTAGAATTCATTGCATTGGTAGCAGTAAACACTCTCCCATCTCCATCCATTTTCATCACAATGAACTGAGGGTACAGGGAGACTGGATTACATGGTGTGAAGTTGACTGTAGCTTTGTTTTATTGGTTCTATATTCTAAGTTGAAAGCTGAGCCCATATTTCTTTTCTTTGTTGTAGATTTTCAAAGCCTCTTTGTTGTTGCATCAGATTCACGAACTTTTCAGAGTTGTCGGATATGTCAGTGGCTCAGTGCGTTGACACATAATAGCTGTTCAGTGGGTGGATGGGGAGGATGTGGAAGGGGCGTGAGGGAACATGGGGAACCTTAGCATAGGAGATATTGGACATGGACGGTATGGATGGATAAGGGTGGTGAGAGGACTGAGGGCTTGGAGAGTCTGACAGTCTGGAGTACAACTACGCTGATGTCTCAGTGAACAGAGGTGGACTTTCTAGTCTGTCAGCCTTGCCATTTACCAACCTTGATTGCACTCTTGGGCCTTCCTTGGGTTGAGCTTGACTCCATCCTACACCACAACGTTCTGATAAGAATACTGTGGGTGGAACTCTTCAATGGAGGCAAAACAGAAGCTTTTCTGAATTGGACTTCCCATCTTTTCTATGAAAGTTCAGGCCACAGCCTTATCTCACTTACCATTCACCACCTCAATTACTATTCAGCATTTCCATAGTCTGAACCACCCTATCTCTTCAACTCCCTTCAGCAAGACAAATTTGCAGGGTGCCTGTGCTCTTCTATTTGTGATCCCTTCAGCATCCATCATTTTAATCACTCAACCATTGACAGCCATGTTTTTCAGTACTTCTGACACTGAACTTTGGATAACCTTCCTCAAACCTTTCAATGCTGTACACCTTTATTTTTTGAAAATATTCTGCTTCTAACCTATCTTTTGAACTAGCTTTAGATCACTGACCTCATATCTGATGTGGGACATGGCATCAAACATTTGGTTGATAATGTTCCTGTGAAGAAACTTGCGATGCTATATGAATGCAAGTTGTTGTTGTTAAGACAAACTTTCTAATTTATCGCCTTGCGCTCTTATATCGACTAAGTGCCTCCAGGGATATGCCATAATTTCATTAACAAATAAAAGGAATCATTCCTTATTTAACCCTTGTCATAGGAAAATTGGAATAATGTAAAGGTTCATTCAATTTGTTTCCTACCATTCTGACAAGGAGATGATCAAACAACAATGGTGTCATTGATTAATCCCGTCATGTGCAGACCTCAGAAGTTTGTTTCATCTCAGTATGACTCTTAGGTATTTAATACAGACTTCACTATATTAAGAAAAACTCACTCACTGATAAAGGGATTTAATATATAGAATGGGCATTTAAGTACTGCTCATCAGTTGTACTACAGCTAACCCAGGTGTGGTGTGGAGACAGTCTCAGTGATGAGACAATCCCAGGAATCATGGATGCAAAATAACCTGTCCATCCAAATCATGCTTTGCTTATTGTAGTATATGCTAGTGTGTTTCTACTCACCACTGAGCCAAATAACTCCTCAACCACGTATTCTAGGCTGGCTATGGAATGCTGATGCTGCACTGACCTTTGGATGAGACAGTAAGGTGTGATCCTGGCCCAAATCTTCATAAATCCAGATGGGCTTGGCCTATTAGTTAAAATGGATTAGGCTCTTGAAGGAAATGTTGGTTTGCATTGGGATTAAGTACTTAAATGCCCATTCTATATATTAAATCCCTTTATCAGTGAGTGAGTTTTTCTTAATATAGTGAAGTCTGTATTAAATACCTAAGAGTCATACTGAGATGAAACAAACTTCTGAGGTCTGCACATGACGGGTACCCAGTGAGTTGGTCTGGAGGATGGAAGAGAAAGAGGTGGTCAGAGCCTTGGGTTAGTATGAGTTAGCAATACATTGGCATGGATTTATAGGAAGGCATAGGTTGGCACAGAGGGTAAAAGGAGCCATGGAGGAAGCAGGTTTGGGGCCATGAGTTGACATAGATGGGGTACAGGAAGTGAGTTAATGTGAGAGTTGAGGGCTTGGGGGCTGTTTGTAGATTTACTGCTTTCTTTACAACTGGGAAGAAGGCAGTGGGCCTAGTAAACACTCTGCAGTGTCTGTGACTTGACTCCATTCAGTACTTGATCCACCTGAGATAAAAACTCAGCTGTTTGCAGCTCTCACCTCCTGAATCTGGGAGGGGTCAGTCTATCATGTGGATATAGAAGGTTTCTGGGTATTGTTTTGAAGGACCGCTGAAGTTCTAAACTGGTGAGTGTTCAGAAAAGATTTACTAGGTTATGGCCATGATTGGAGGGTTTGAGTTTTAAGGAGAGGCTGGGACTTTTTCCTCTGGAGCGTAGGAGGTTGGGGAGTCACCTGTCAGAAGTTTATAAAATCATGAGCGGCATAGATAAGGTGAATAGCAAACATCTTTTCCCTAGGGTGGGGGAGTTCAAAACTAGAGGGTATATTTTTAAGGTGAGAGAAGAAAGATTTAAAAGGGACCTGAGGAGCAACTTTTTCACACAGAGAGTGGTTCATATATGGAATGAACTGCCAGAGGAAGTGGTAGATGCAGGTACTGTTAGAACATTTGGACTGCTATATGAATAGGAAAGTTTTAGAGGGATATGGGCCACACACAGGCAGGTGAGAGTAGTTTAGTTTGGAAAACTTGGTCAGCATAGACAAGTTGGACCATATCACTCTCAATGAAACTTATCTTTGTTCACTCATGGTGAAAACAATGTCTGGTCATTTCTGAGATAGAACTGTAAACTCAAGCTTTCTTTCTTTACACTTTGCACTTGTTTGGTCTCACACAACAGTCTTATGTTTCTGAGTGGGTTGCCTTATGCGGAATGGTTGGAGAGGCTAGATTTGTACCGGCTGGAGTTTGAAAGGGTGTCAGGCGATTTGATTGAAATATATAAGATCCTGAGGGGTCTTAACAGGCTAGGCATGAAGAGGATGTCTCCTCTTGTGGGAGAATCTAGAACTAGGAATCACTGTTTGAAAATAAGGGGCTACACATTAAAAACAGACATGAGGTGAAATTTGTTCTCTCTTAGATTCATGTGTCTTTGGAACTCTCTTCCTCAATTTCCAGACAGAGATGGATAGATTCTTGATAAGAAAAGTGGACGGATTTGAGTTGGGGGTGTGTGTTGAGGTAGGCAGGAATGTGAAGTAATCAGATTGGCCAACATCTTATTGAATGGTGGGGCAAGATCAACGGACTGAGGAGCAGAAATAGGTTACTAAATAAAACCAAAAGAACTATGAATGCTGTAAATCATGACCAAAAACAGAAGTTGCTGGAAAAGCTCAGCATGTCTGGCAGCATCTATGAAGAAAAAAAATCAGAGTTAACGTTTCAGGTCCAGTGACCCTTCCTCAGAAATAGGTTACTAATTTGTGCACTCTTGTGTTAAAAGGGAGAGGAATATTTCACTGTAACATGCATACCGGCAGCCTTTTACAGCATCATTGATCCATCCTACTCCTTTGTACATTATACTCAAAACAACTTGGATGGAAAGAGAATGAAATCAGCAGGAGTATCACCACTAACCCTAATGAGTTACCCACTGCTCAGTTACTAACTGAATTGAGGGATGTGACTGCTTTCTAACATTAGAAGATCTATGTTGGCCTATTTTGGGTTACCTGGTCTCTGACCGTACACATTATACAATAGACCTCAGTATCTCTGGGATGAAGAATGGAGTTGGAGGAGGTATTTCGTCAGAGATTCCACCAGCTCATTGCTTCCAAATTTTTCATTAGGTAGAGGTTGCAACTGTGATGCAACTTGCGGTTGGCCAAAGTCTGCCAACAATTATAAGGACCTTCCTATGAAGAATGAAGGCTAAGTACAACCAATGGAGATGCCAAAGCATGTAACCTTGCCGGAGAGTCCAACGATTGGGATTGGAGGTAGGCAATGAAAGTTGACGAATGAGCAGCCAGAAAGTGATAAAAGGTCAATTAGAACTCGCATCCTAACAGCACTGTGGGTATGTTGTCATCAAATTGACCACCACACTAGAAGGACAAAACCCGGAAAACTGACAAAGGAGATGTATTGCTCCATTCCATCTTCCATACTTCAAACAGAGGAGCAGTATGACCAGCATATTCACTTCTAAACATTGCCTTTTTTTTTAATGAGTTCTTTCCCCTGTAGGACAAGAAGCTGGTTTCTTGAGGGGGCAGTTAGGGAAAGACAATAAGTGCTGGCTTTGCCAGAAATAGTTGAGTGAAGGTAACTAGTTTTGTAGATGTTGTGAGCAGATGTTTAAATCAGTTTTGAGTTTCACAATGGAAACCTGGCTGCGTGTGAAAACCAACCCTTTAACTGGATTGTTTCTCTTTCTATAGTTCAATTTTGTGGGGAAGTTGCTCGGACCACGAGGTAATTCGCTAAAGAGGTTACAGGAAGAAACAGGTGCAAAAATGTCCATCTTGGGCAAAGGATCTATGAGGGACAAAGCCAAGGTAAGAATATCTATGTAAAAGCTAAGTACCCACAGATACTGGAAATCTAAAATAAAAACAGAAAGTACTGGAGAAACTCGGCAGGTCTGGCAGCATCTCCGAAGAGAGAGAGAATTAACATTTTGAGTCCAACGGCACTTCTTTGGAACTGAAATGGGGCTAGAAATGTGAACGTTTTTCATGTTGATGAGAAGGGGGGGGGGGAGGGAGCAAGGAGGAGCAGGTGACACAGGTGGTAAGGGTGCCCAAGGCAAAGGGAGTACTAATGGTAGTGGAGAAAGGATAGAAAAACAAAACTAATGTGAAGGGCACAAAATATGTCAGTTCAGGTGAGAGCAAACCAATTACAAATAAGATATGGGGAGAGTGAAGAGGGTGATCAAAATAGCGGACAGAGTCCATAGTCTGAAGTTACTAAAGTCAGCATTGAGTTCTCAAGACTGTAAAGTGTCTAAGTGGAAAATAACTTGCTGTTCCTCAAGGTTATGTTGGGCTTCACTGGAACACTACAGCAGACCTAGTGTAGAAATGTTAGGAAGCGATCAAAAAGGTATATTGAACGTCAAGGTCATTCTCACAGACAGAGAGAACAGAGGTGTTCCACAAAGTGGTCGCCCAGTCTGCTGAGGGTCCTTTCAGTCACAGTGGGACAGAGAAAGCAGTCCTTGGTTCAGGAGAAAGGAAAACATATTGGAAGCACATGTGGAAGGTGGCATCATTGGAACAGATGTAATGGAGATGGAGAAACTGGAAGAATTGTGTGGAGTCTTTACAGGAAGTGGGGTGTGAAGAGGTTAAGTGCAAGTAACTGTGGGAGTTGATGGGTTTGTACTAGATATTGGTGGACAGCCTATTCCTAGTAATGGAAACAGTGAAGCCAAGGAAGAGAGGGAAGAGTCAGTGTCTTGTTTGCTTGAATTTGCTCTCAGCAGAGTGGATCAATTTTCTGCTATTAATCCCTAACATTAATTTCTACATTACGCTTATATATCTCTCCTTTACCACTATTAATATTCCATTTGCCTTTTTCTCTGAGAGACCTTTTCCATCTGTTCCATTTGCTCCTCCTTCCTCCAATTTCAATAACATAACAAATTTACGCTTTTCCAGCCCCTTTCAGTTCTGAAAAAGTGTCAAATTAAACTTGAAACATTAACTTCAACCCTCCCCAGCTGCTATGAGAGGTGCTGATTTTCTCCAGTACTTTGTTTTTATGTAAGGACATCTAGGATGCTACCTCTCATCATAAATGTGATCTTCATTTTCCAAAATGCGTTTACTTTCTTCCTAAATTTGAATTTTCTGAGGTTCATTTAGGAAACTGTTTGCCTCATCCAGGAGAAAACATTCCAAACTTTTCTAGTTTTATTGCAGTGCTCTGACGATTCTACGGCTGAGGAACTGTAAATGTCGGAAGTCACTTGGATCAAAAAGGTGTTTTCATACATTTGTTTAAAGCTGTTTAACAGGATTTTCTGAAGTGTGTCGACTTTATAAAAAGAAAATCAGTCTTCAATTCCATTAATAATTGACATTCAACAATTTAATTTGTCACGATTATGCCTCCTATAAAATGTTCGTCAATGGCTCCAGAAATTAGATTCCAGATTATTCTGTAAGTGGGTGATTCACAGCAGAGTAGAAGGAGTGATTCAGCATTCCAGTGATCTCCGTGGGAATTGCCATAAACTCCTACTCTCGTTCAGCAAATAGTGTGCTGCATAACTCTGATCACCTGAGCTAAACTCATTACAAATGTGATTTCCTGCTGGGAACTCCAAATCACAGAGACATTTTCCTAATCCTTTTCCTTGGATCATGTTTCCCACTATGTTAATATATTGCGCAAAATTCTGAGAAACTGAGGAAACTTCTACTTTCCCAAATTGACGACATTTGTGTAAATTACGATTTAGTACAGAGTAATGTGGGCCAGAGATTAAGTAGAAGGTTATGGGACCTGACCTCTGCAGAGAACATGAGTTCCCTCCAGTGAGCCACAAGCGAAGATGAGGTGTGGAATGAAATTGATGCTCTTTGAAAGATCCAACAAAAACTTGATGGGCAGAATGGTGTCTACCTGTGCTATTCTTATTCCTTTAAAATACCTGACTAAGTGAGGTTGGGAGTCCAGTAGAGCATCAGGGAGGTTGGATGTCAAGTTCCCCCGCATATTGTGAAAACCAGAGGAGTCCACATACCTGTATGACAGCATTCTATAGTGTGCTGAAGAATATCAGAGGCATTGGGGCTGTGGGGGGGCAGAAATTGGAGGCTGTTGCACACTGCCATCGAAATCTGCTATGTGTGTGGGTTGTGTAGAGGCTTGCAGAGTATCTTGTAGAGTAAACACTGTCTAGTTTATCATATCTTTACTTACAAGTTATAAGAATAAGCTCCAAATTACAATATAAACCATTGGGAGCACCTAACCTTTGGTCTGTCTCCTCTGAGATCCTATTTGAAACTCCCACCAAAAGCGCTTGAGATTATTATAGTGGGTGACGCTTTCTGCACACCATCAAATATTAACCCCTTCAGACCCTTCCAGACACAGATAGAACAAAGGCCCAATGAGGGGGAAATGGGCAATTCTGGGACAAGGTCCAAAGCATTTGGGCTGGGGAGAATAGGGAGGGATCAAAAAAGCCTGTGGAGTGGAGGGGTGATGGGACAATTTTGTCTGAAAAGGGAGGATGTCCAGAATGGCATCCTCTGAATGTACAGAAGGGAAAACCAGTAAAAGTGGGAAATGATGCAAAAGCATCTTTTATACTTGAAAATGGAACCGTTTTGCGACCTGTATTTTCATTCTCCAGTTTTACTGGTCTTTTTTCAATAGATCTAGATGCCGGGTTCACAGTTAAATTCAATTCGCTAAACGTAAATGGAACAATGGGCATGCAGCCTCGATCTGATATTTGAAGTGCCAAGCCTCTTCCTTGGATTGGATTAATGACTCACCATTAACCCTGCCTACCTCTGTTAAAGCTGGAAGGAGATTGATCAAGCTACAAATTCATACTTTTTAACACTCAAACCCACCCCCTCCTGCCAAACCCACCCACCAATACAAACCTCACCTGGTTTTTGGGGGGGATTAAGATTGTCCCACATTATTTTGAAGACTACCTGCTGAATTTTGGACAAAAAATACTTCACAGTTAAACCAGCTGTTTTATTAAGCATTGATCTTGCAAGGCACATGGTCAAATTGACCAGTATATACATCTGTGCATACATAACAACTCTCTTGGCCCCACACTCCTCATATCTGTTTTTATATAGGCTCTATTTCATTCCTTTCACATTGTGAGTTTGTCACTAACAGTGGTGCTGATGTCTGTGATGTGAAACTTGTTGGATAGAGAGCTATTGGGGATCATTTTGACTTTGTGCAAATATGTAAAATGGAAAATAAGAAACTTTTGACATTCCATCCAGTTTTTAATTTCCAGTGAAATTAACTGGGAGAAATAGCAATGAAAGTGGAAGTTTGCTATTGGCCACTTCACGCTATCACAAAAAGTCAGAATTCCTCCCAACGATTGTAAGCACTGCCAGTGATAGTGGGCCCTGGCCCTTTCTCTAATGGCAATGCTACTGTTGCTTGTAAAGTCAACAGAAATGCCTGTGCCTTATCAAACTGATTTGGCAGAATAGGCATGAGGAATTGAATGGCCAACTCTTGCTCCTCTGTTACACCAGCCTGCACAGTCTCCATTCCCTTCTGTGAAGGAAGTGAAGTACCACTCCTTTGAATCAGAGCTTCTGTCCATGAGGCTGTGGTTTTTCTCCCACTGTACCTTGGTGGCAGCTGCCCCAAGCTTTAGTGCATATCTCAGAATGTGCCAGTCCTCAACACTCTGTCGGGGTTAGCTCTTTGTTCTGATAGGCCAACAAGTTTCGGGCAGACCAAATTTATACATTGACAATGAGAAGGACCCAATGACGGGGTTTCTAGTGCCATGGTAGTGCTCCAGTCTCTGGGTTAGAGTGTCTGCATCAGGTCCCACCTGAAAAGGAAGTGTGTCATAACATGTCCAAACGAATTGATTTAAATGATTCTTTAAATACACCTTTATTTTACCAGGAAATTCTGGGCCAGAATATTCATAAAATATCTTGAAGAATTTGCCATCTGAGCCTAATTATCATTGACAGGAGCACCCTGGCCCATTCTTTCTAAGTTTAATAGCTGTACTGCCGTCACAAGGGCTTGGAGTGGGTGATGGAGAGATTTGCCAAGGGCGGCACAGTGGCTCAGTGGTTAGCACTGCTGCCTCACAGGTTCAATTCCACCCTCGGGCAACTGTCTGTGTGGAGTTTACACATTCTGCCCGTGTCTGCATGGGTTTCCTCCAGGTACTCCAGTTTCCTCCCATACTCCAAAAATGTGCTGCTTAGGTAGATTGGCCATGCTAAATTGCTGATAGTATCCAAGGATGTGCAGACTAGGTGGATTAGCCATGGGAAATACGGTATTACAGGGATAGGATAGGGAGGTGAATCTGGATGGGATGTTCTTCCAAGAGTCGATGTGGACTTCATGGGCCAAATGGCCTACTTCCACACTGTAGGGATTCTATGATTCTATATGAACACCAGGGATGAGGGGTTATGTTTTTGTGGAGAGACTAGAGAAAATCCTGGGATTGTTTTCCTTGGAGCAGAAATTCTGCAGCAATTTGATGGGGAGAAACTGTTCCCACTGACAGGAGAATTGACAATAGGATATGAAGATGTAAGATAATCCGTGAAAGAATCTGCGACAAGCATTGCTTTTACATGATGAACGCTTATGATCTGGAACAAACAGCCTGAATAAAGGTTTAGCAAAGATCTGTAGCTCGGGTTGTGGATGATGTTGTTGGCTTGTTTTTGTTTAGATGTCTCGTCACCATACTAGGTGATATCATCAGTGGAGCCTCTGATGAATTGATGCTCTTCTGCTCCACTTGGAATTTATACTGTCCGGTCTCTTATGGTGAGTACTGTCA